CAAACATTGGCCACAACTAATACAATAAAAAACATAAAGAATCGGAGCATATGAAGTTTTACCGGTTCGGGTGTTGGGATGCTTGCATTAGCATCTCCCATGTTAGCCCAAGCAATAATACCGCCTTTGATTACCATTTCAGGTTTTACCCCAAAGAAGGCCTGTTTCCATAAAACAAGATCAGCCAACTTCCCCACCTGAAAGATGAAACTCATATATTAGCCAATGAAGTCATCATCTATAGAGCTGAACATTTTCAACATATGTACAAAGAAAATGATATACCTCGACCGAACCGACGAATTCTGCAATGCCATTAGCAATGGCTGGATTTATGGTGTATTTTGCGATGTACCGTCTGATTTTAAGGTTGGAAGAAGTTTCTTCGTTGTTAAGAGGACCCCTTTGTGATTTCATCTTGTCCTCTGTTTGCCAAGTTCTGCTTGTCACCTGGAAACAAAGAAAGAATTTGAACTTGTTCCTCATTTCGATCTTGGAATTTCCAGAGTTGTCTCTTATAAGCACATGCAAAATGAGAAACAAACCTCGCCGATGCCACCCATAGCCTGCGAATCGGAAGATATGATGCTGATTGCCCCATGTCGTGCAATATGTCTTCGGCGGCAATGGTTTCCGCCCTGATCCTTGATTCCGCAAACGCTACATCTTCAGGAATATCCTTGTTGAGGTGATGGCAAACCATCTGCAAAGATAGGAAAGGATGAGAATCGAAAAACTTGGGGAAAAAATCGAGCATGCTGACATTTATCCAAGTTCAAGACTTCAAGTAATGTCACTGCTATCTTCTCATACCAGCATGTCAAGATGTTCATCTACTGTATAGGAAGTTTAAGGACGCGTCGGGTTTGTTTACAAGGGGAGGACATTTTCAACGCCGCATACTTTGATGATACGAGTACATGTATGTACCATACATGTGTTATGTTATGCATGAATTAACAAGAAAAAAAAGGTTGAATATATTCTGCAAAAAACTTAATCTTACCTTCCCTGTGAACCCAAAATTTAAAGGGAAGTCATCAGTGGACTGCAGCATCATTTTCATTTGCGCCGGTTCCGGTGTGCAAGAAGTTGCGCGTGTTCCCTCCGCCGGTCCAGTCCCACCTTCGATTAATGTTGTGATGCCTACATTAAATATTTAATAAAGATACATGATTCTATAATTTATATTAATCCGAAGTATTTATGTAACATGGATGTTGTCCCTTTTATAACTCTCTTGCTCTTGCCTAAACCAAGCACGTAATGATATGTAAGGTTTGTGCATGTTACGTATTTCGGGAACATCTTTAGCTATGTATGCCTGAGAATGTAGCTTACCACTTGAAATAGCTTCATGAACCAACTGAGGGCATATGAAGTGCACATGACAGTTGATAGCCCCTGCAGTTACGATCGATCCTTCTCCAGCGATAACCTCAGTGACCTGTGAATCGATGGAATCAGCCATTAGTATAACTATAGTCGGACAATGCATTCATATGAAAAGAAACGTACACCGATGATCAAGTTCTGCGATGCTCCATCCATGGTATCCGGATTGCCCGCTTTCCCAAGTCCAACAATTACGCCATTTTTAATACCAATATCTGCCTTGAACATACCGGTGTAATCAACAATCACAGCATTTGTTATAACAGTATCTAAAGATTTATCGGGTGGATGCCCAGATGATTGTCCCATGCCATCTCTTATAACTTTTCCGCCACCGAATACGCATTCATCACCATATACAGCAAAATCCCGCTCTATTTCAGCATACAAATTCATATCGCCGAGCCGGATCTTATCACCGGTAGTAGGGCCATACATGTTAGCATATGCCTCAGAAGAAATCGTTGCGGTAAAATCAGAATCTTGTCCGGTCTCGCCTTCGCTGCAAAACAAGTCGAGGCATCAATGTTTTTGTATTTAAGTAGACGATGCTTGCTAATCAATATATTCTTTTGGTGAAATAAGATCGAAGTAAAACAAGATGACAATAAGTTTCTAGCTCAAGTTATAACCTAGCATTTGTGTCCTCCATATTCTCGTAACCTTCACTCCTTGTAATTTCCACCACTGTTTCGATATTGGCAATGTCGACAGGGCCATCAACAATTCCGTTTCCTCCTCTGATCACTCGGTTACCACCAATGCTGACAGGCACAACGGTTTTACTATCTCCGGGCTGGAAAAGGAAAACATCTTTCAGTCAAAGAATAGGTTCGGATTAGATCAAGTGCTGATCCTAAACCAACGAATATATCTACTAATGTAATAGAAACACTTAAACAACCCTCCTATATTAACAAAATGCTCTCTTCTAAATTCTTACAACACCGAGTGTGAGCGTTGTACATGGATATGTGGTATGTTCAACTTTTTTCCAAGATTTTAATGTACTTGGAAGATCATATCTCATACCCGTATCCAAATACATACTCGATATGTCTGTCACACATACACTTCCCAAGAAAGGGAAATCTGTACCTATGTTGTTCCAACTTTTCATTTTACTTGAACATACTAGTCTGAGACACATTCAGACTTGGTATAAGAGTATGAATCTCTGAATATATGGAAAAACACAAGTATTGAACATACCTGTGTCAACACATATACATAACCGACGCTCACAACATGATCAATGAATAACTCTTATGTGGCTTAACCAATGATCAAACAAAAAGCTTATCAACAGAGGAAGGCTAAAATGCTCGACCTCAAATCTTGTTGCTGTTCCCGGTGGTATATTTAGCCGCATGTCTAATGCTTTACTTCGATCGAAATCCAGGTGAGGGTTTACCTCGATAAAGTGATAATGGCTTCCTACCAGAAAAATTGTTGGTTAGCACAGAGATCTTTCAGTTCTTCCTTGGAAAAATTTAACAGAAGTGTATAGGTTAGTTATATGGCATGGTATTGGAGGTCAATTCTCTGTACCTATGTTACTAAGACCATTTTCATTAAGTGCCTGTGTCCGGCACATGTCAGATACATTTTCAGATATGGATATGGAGATAAGATCCTCCAAAGACATGGGAAAAACTTGGGAAAAATATGAACATACCCGCGTATAAGGCACATACTCGTATCATAAACTCACATACATAGCTATGTACACATAGATATAGTGGTACCAAAAGCTATGCTGTTGGCACCTAACATTCTTCTTGAAATGCTCATGTTCAACATATGGATGCAGAATTATGACCTCCAAGGATTCACTCGAAACACTTAGAAAAATCTAATCATACCCAGATCTAACACTGCTCATATCCTATTAATATAGAAAAATCTAATCATTATCCGTATCTAACACTCGCACTCAAATCCTAATGATATAGACTGAAACTGATGTGGAATTGATCAAACTCTAAACATGTCTGGCATATATTTGCTTAAAATATACATGTCTGGCACATATTTGAATATGACCCTCCAAATACCCTACAGATATATGGAATGAAACTTAGAAAAACATAGAACATACCCGTGTTAGACTCATATCAGCCTCTAACACTCACACTTGGATCAATAACATGTAAAATCACTTATATATTATGCATATATTCTTTGAGGAAGTGTGCATTTCCAAATATATATATGCATGGCCTACCAGGTAGAAAAGAACCATATAATGCAAGCTTCAGGTTTCCACTTTCGCTTGAGATCGGGTTGTGAATAGTGATTAACTTCGTCCCGTCAGGAAATGACCCTTCAAACTTGCATTGTTGATTTTAACAGAAAAAAAAGAGTTCACAATATGAGCCAAGAAAAATCTGTAACAATGGCACTTCGGGCGTCCATAACAACACTCATGTCCAACACATGAATGAGGGATATGGCCTCCAAATATATGAAAAATCCATGCCATTTATGATTATTTAAAACATAGTTACCTGAACAAAATCCAATAAATATGGCGCTGAGGAAAGAACTTGCCTCCTGTTTATACACTAATTAAAATTAACATTTGTTTCTACAAAATAATATATATATATCATGTGATCAAAGCAAAACATTGTCAATGCTTATGTTACTCAGATATTGATGTGAGCGTTGAATTCAGAAGACATCAAAGAAGCAGTCAAGGATGATATGCAGTCGGTCATGGGTAGGATTGACAAAAGTGGGGATGGGGTCTATGTACAAGCATCTACCCTCGGCTCTTTGGAAGCATTGCTGGAATTTCTGACAACTCCAGAAGTAAATATTCCTGTTAGTGGTATAGGCATAGGCCCTGTACACAAAAAAGACATAATGAAGGCCAGTGTCTAATTAATTGTTTAAGTTTGGTATCCTTGAAGGCATTTTAAGGGTACAGTTATTTATCAGCTTATTAAGTAAATGCTTTTCTAATTAATTGTTTAAGTTTGGTAGCTAATTCTGATTATAGCATAAACATTTTGGAAATTTTTGGATAAGTTCCTAAATCATCCCTTTAGTCTATACCCTTTGAGCTTGCATTCTACCTGGAGCGTTTACATAGGGAAGTAGTACTCAATCATTAGGTTCTAGCAAATACTTTGACACATCTCTTCACTCTAGCCCTTTGAATGTGTGTAAATTACCAGATACTGGTAATATGTTTTCTAATGTGTGTATTAGGCATGACTCAAAACTGATAATTCAGGTAATGAAACGGATCAAAACTGATAATTTAGGTATTAAATGCATTAAGTTTTTAACGGTGAGATATTAAACTAAAACAAAACTTAAATGTTAGGTATATTTTAAAAAATTAAAAGTTTAGGTATTAAAATGGATTAAAATTGATAGTTTATGTACTAAATGTGTAATTTACCTAAAATTAAATCACTGGTTTGGCCCTATAATTCCATCCAACATTTGGTTGCTAAGCAACTTGCATGTTTTGACCTTTGTGGAAGAAAGTGGCGATTTCATCAAACAACTCAGTAAAATGGTACAATTGAGAGGGCTTCACGTTGCCAATGTTAAGGAAAAGAGGAAATTTGTGCTTTGCCATTGCAAAAATGATACACCTTCGAGACTTGGTGGTTAAATCATGTAATAGAGATGAGCAAGCGAAGATGGAAGCTCTTGGATCTGCTCCCCCTGACCTTCAGAAACTTGGACTAATCGGGAAACTGGACAAAGTACCGCACTGGTTTAACTCGCTCGACAGCCTCAGGCGATTGTCTCTACGCGGGTCTAGATTGAGGGATGATTTTCTTCCTCACGTCCAAGCATTGCCTAATCTTTTACAACTCCAACAACTAAATGCATATGAGGGAGAGAGATTAGACTTCCTTGAAGGATTCCAAAAGCTCAAGATTTTAAAAATTGCAGCTTGCCCTCGTTTGAAAGAAGTTGTGATCACAAAGGAGTGATGCCTGCTCTTCAGCAGCTGTTTAGCATTGATTGAGAAGATTTCACGACACTGCCGCATGACTGGGAAAGTCTACCTGATCTAAATGAAGTTCGTTTGGGTCACGTTTCGCCCGGTCTTCTTCAGAAAACATGGACATCAAAAAGGATGGATCAGCGAACAATCGTAGGCATCAAGTTAATTAGACAAGAAGGCAATGAAGCAATATTCAATATAGCGAGTTGGCTCGAATGATTCCTGCAAAACAAGACGATTCCTTCCCGTCGTAAGTAGCACTATATTCCATAGCCCAGGACGTATTCATTCGTTCATTTACTCTGTCTAACTGCCTAAAAAATGTACTCTTATTAGGTTATGGTGATTCAGTGATCTTCGTTGAAGCAATCGACACAAACAATACGGCGACATCCGATTGGATTTTTATTCAAGAAGCTTTGAACAATTATGTTTGTTGTTGTTGCAGGAAAAGGCCAGGGCTTATGGTTTATGTTCTCAAGAATCATTGTTTGTTTTTGTGTTCTGTTCATTCTGTAACATCTTTCTATATATGTTGTTATTGGTTTCTTGGTTTGTACAATATATATTAGCTACTTTCATGCACATCATCTGATATATAAATTTGCCACCATCGATTACCATGTTCTTGGTTTGTGTAACATCATTTCCTATGATCATTTCCACTGTCATAAACAGTTGTTGGGCTCGACCCTTACACTCGAAAAACAAAATTCCTTCAATGATTTATTCGACAGGCTGCCATGTTCAATCATTTGGGGATCAAACAAATCATTCTCTGCAACTTTTTCTATCCATTGGTCATCAGCATTCAATGGCAGAAATCTTCAACACCGCTCTTGCTCTCGAGGCACTCTCCGTTGGGATACCCCTCAACATGTTTTTTCAGTTCGTCTGCCGTACATTGCTGTTGATCAACCCAGATTCTAAATGGTGATCATTTTTACTTTTGGACCATGATATCAAGAACTCAGCCACCAGCTTCGGAAACAAGGAGCATTGTCTTCCAGTAGTTTCCCAGGCTTATCATATTCTGCAACTTGCCCTGACATCAAGCAATAAATTTGTCTCAATCAGCCAAAACCAAATGCGTATTGGACACAGTCGAGTTCGAGTAACATAAGTTTCAATTGCCCTGTGTCGTAACCGGTTTTCGTCCGGGCACGAAATATTTATTTGGCGGGAAAATTGATGTGAATAAATGTTTTTGAAAATAATTTGGGAGTCGCCATCGGCCTTTTGGGTCAGGTAGGTCGAATACCTAAAAATTATTTTTTAAAAGAGTTTTAAGAAAACATCAATTAAAAAAATGAACTGATTTACGTTTATAACCAAAAATTCGTTCTTTTTAATAATAAAAAGGGATTCGTGGTCGATTACGTTTAGGGAAGGATTAGCACCCCTACAACGCCCAAAATTGGTACTTTTTAATTATAAATTGTCTCTATTATTAAAAATTTAAAAATTCAAGGATATATTTAATTCATAATTCTATTATTTCATGTAATTTTACGAAAATATATTAATATACATAAATAAGATATTTACTTATTTAGAAATATCAGAAAAGGGATTCTAGGTACCTTAAGACAACTCTTTTCTTTGATATTAATAAATATCAATATAATTTAAACAAAATTAAATTATAATAATTTTTTTCTTCTTTTAAATATTTAATTTTAAAATACCAGAATAGGACATCCAGTTGTATTAAGACTGCCCTTTTCTTCGATATTGAAAAATAAATATTAAAATAATTTATGAAAAAATATAAATTATATATATATATATATATATATATATATATATATATTTATATGATTACATAATAAAACATTTAAATATATAAACAAGTAATATTAAAACATAAATAATCAATAAAAAAATTAGAACTATATAAAAAGAAGTAAAACTTTATGAAAATATTTAAAATTAGTGACTAAGTTATAATTTAATAAAATTAAATACCTAATTCGTAATTATTTAAAATTTCAGGGATTAAACATGTTATTTTCCTTATTCATGAATTTGGTGACTAAAATAAAACTATATAAAATTCAAATATCATATTAGAATAAATTAAAAATATTTACTCGGAATTAAAATATTAATTATTAAAATTAACGGACTAAATCTATCATTTACCCTAAATTTATTATTTTAATATAAAGGACTAAAATAAATAAAATTAAAATTAAAGAACCGAATTAAAAGGATTATAAATTGATTTAGTGACTAAAATGTAAAGTTTACAAATTTGGATGACTGCAGAAATGATTTATCTTTTATTTAATTACACAAATAGCCCTCCCCGAAACGACGTCGTTCGGGAAGGGCTATTTAAAGCCAAATCCGGCTGGCCCTTCGGGCCATCTCTCATTTCTTTTTTTTTTATTTCTCTCTCTAACTGGGAGAGAATAAAAGCTCTCCCTTCTCTCTAGCTTCCCTCCTCCTCCCTTTTCTTTTGTTTTTGGTTGCTGGTTGTTGTGAGTTGGTCTCTATTTTTGTATCTTTGCTCTCGGTTTTTGTCTCTCTGGGTCTGTTTTTTTCTTTGCAGATGGGGTGATGGCTTTATAGCCATCACCGGTGTGGCTATCGGACCGGGTAAAAGAGTGGAGTCTGGTGAGTCACCGGACTCCCAGTGGTGACTCACCCCATGGCCATAACGTGGACGGCTGGCGTTGGAACTTCTGGAGCCTTCGGTTGGGGCGTGGCAGCGGCTGGAGCGACGTGGAGCGGCGGCAGCTGGTGTAGTCCCTAGGGTATCATAACCCTAGGGTTTCGTCTGGCGCCATCTGGACCGTTGGATCTAAGTTAGATCCAACGACTGAGAAGCAAGGCGGCGGCTGGCTGAGATATAAACCCTAAATGGGTTTTAGGGTTTTTTTTTGTTTGGGCCAGTCTGTTGGGCCTATAATATTATTTGTAATTATTTTTTAATAATATTAATAATATATATAATAATTATAATAATAATTATAATAATAATAATTATAGTAAAAAAATTAGTATCTTCAGCTGCCCCTCTTTGCTCATTCTTGTGTTAACAAGAATAGGACAAAGACGAAAAGATAATAAATTTTTTATCAATTTGGCTTCACTTGATTAATATGGAAATATTGAATAAAATCTTTTCTTTCTTTAGATAAGTTCTTCTCATTATGAACTTTCTGCTGGGGATGATGTTGACCTATTTCCTTCTGTGATAGAGTCATTCAAAAGGTTAAATAAGCTCTTCTCATTATGAACTTCTTCTTTCTCCTTCAGATGAGTTCTTCTCATTATGAACTTTCTCTGGAAAGGTTTATGCTAATCTATCTGCTTCTGTGATAGAATTATGCAAAAGGTTGAACAAGCTCTTCTCATTGTGAACTTCTTCTTCCTCTTCAGATAAGTTCTTCTCATTATGAACTTTCTCTGGAAATGTTGATCCATCAAGTGATGAATTTGAGCAAAAGGTTAAACAAATTCTTCTCATTATGAATTTCTGCTTCCTTCTTCAGATGAATTCTTCTCATTATGAACTCGAACTGGAAAAGCTGATCCATCAAGTGATGGATTTGAACAGAAGGTTGAACAAATTCTTCTCATTATGAATTTCTTCTTCCTTCTTCAAATGATGAGTTCTTCTCATTGTGAACTCTACCTGGAAATTTTAATCCATCAAATGATGAATTCAAACAAAAGGTTAAACAAATTCTTCTCATTATGAACTTCTTCTTCCTTCTTCAGATGAGTTCTTCTCATTATGAACTTTCTCTGGAAAAGTTGATCCATCAAGTGATGAATTCAAGCAAAAAGTTGAACAAATTCTTCTCATTATGAATTTCTTCTTCCTTCTTCAGATGATGAGTTCTTCTCATTATGAACTCTATCTGGTAATGCTGATCCATCAATTGATGGATTTGAATCTTTGCTAAAAATCTTTGAAATTCCTGTCAAAATTCAACATGGATGAGAATGAATGAAAATGCACATATTTTTGCAAATGCCTAAATATGATGCATGAATGTTAAGTTATTTGATTTCAGATTGGTGAACTGAGTATTTCTTCAGTTGTAGAAACCCAATAGATCTTTCTTCTTCAAATTAGAGAATCTATCATCTTTGACAAATGTCGATGTAGATATAATGTCACAAAACCTCTTGAGAATAAAACTCAATAGTATAGGCTCTTGAAAAGCTTGCATTCATGCAACATGTTAATTCTGATAACAACTCATCTGATTATGAAGTGACCTTTCAAGATGATTTCACAGATATCGATAGTTCTTTTAATACCGAGAAATCTTGAATTCTGATTCTGATGAGGAGAATAAACTGTTATACTTGACAAAAATGGGATTCTCAGAGGCTGAAGCTTCAATAGCCATGGAGAGATGTGGTCCAGATTCATCAATTGCAGAATTGATAGATTTTATATGTGCTGCTCAAATGGCTAAGGCTGCTGACGCATTTCTTCCGGTAAAAAATGGGAAGCCATTATGCAATGATCCCAATTACAAGAAAAAGCGAAACTTGGGCTATGATTTTTAGGAAAGGAATAAACAGAAGAAGCTTGAAAAGAAGCTTCTTAATGAAGACGATCATGCAATTCATCTTTTAATTCCAATGATTGGTTCTGGGGTTCATACCAAACCAGATCAGATAACTCAAATAACAATTCCAGAAGATGCTATGAGCACATTCATCTTCCAAATTCAATAATTGGTTCTGTGGTTCATACCAAACCAGATCAGATAACTCAAAGAACACTTCCAGAAGATGCTATGAGCACATTCATCTTCCAAATTCAATGATTGGTTCTGTGGTTCATACCAAACCAGATCAGATAACTCAAAGAACACTTCCAGAAGATGCTATGAGCACATTCATCTTCCAAATTCAATGATTGGTTCTGTGGTTCATACCAAACCAGATCAGATAACTCAAAGAACACTTCCAAAAGATGCTATGAGCACATTCATCTTCCAAATTCAATGATTG